TGTCTAGTTTCTCAGCTACCACTTCTGGAATTGGCAACTGATGGCTACAAATCTGGGCTAATCTCTCAGTTTCCTTCTCCTCCTGAACATGTTTCACTGCTTTACTAGCTCTCTGATTAGCTTTCAAAGAGACATCTTATCAAATGTTTTCTCTAAGTTTTCTGGTTATTCTTAATGTGATAGTCCAAATTACTGTCTTTACCTAATTTCATGTCAAATTTAACATCCAGCATAACTCCAATCTCTATTCTTTTCACTGTTTTTATCTTGGTTAAGACACTCATACTCATTTCATCTACTCCATGGATGATCATGGGGTGGTTTCACGGTACTGACTTCACCAAATGCACATCCCTAGGACAACCTACACTTGAACAAATCACATGAGAAGCGGTCTGGCTTATGAGAGAAAGAAGATCCAGTGAAGGAATCAGAGTTTTGAAGAAATAAAGCTACAGAAAGAGTGATTTTGAAGAATGCCACAGAGACCAGATTTTTACAGAAGTATAGATCAACACTGTTAAGTGTTGCAGTAACCAAGAAAGTCAAGAGAAATTAGTTGAACCAAGTCCTGGAGAAAAAGGAAAAAAGATAAGGTTTCTGCTGAGACACAGGAGTACAAAATAGGGATAAATGTAGTTTATAACAAAAAATAAACTATCCAACCAAAAAATGGGCAGAGGACCTGAATAGATATTTTTCCAAAGAAGACATACACATGGGCAACAGATATGAAAAGAGGTTCAACATCACTAATGATCAGGAAAATGTAAATCAAAGCCACAATGAGACACCACCTCACAATAGTCAGAACGACCATTGGCAAATAGTCAACAAATAATGTGCCGAAAGGGATGTGGAGAAAAGGATGTGCCCTGTTAGTAGGACAATGAATTGGTGCAGCCACTATGGAAAATAGTGTCTGTGCCTCGAAAAACTAAAATAGGTCTACCATAACACCCCACAATTCAATTCACAGGTATTTATCCAAGGAAAACAAAAACACTAACTTAAAAAAATATGTATGTACCCCTATGTCAATTGAATCATTATTTACAATAGCCAAGATATAGAAGTGACCTAGGTGTCCATCAATACATGAGTGGATAAAGATGTGAGAGATATCACACACACAAACACACACACACACGCACAATGGCTGTTACTTGGCAATAACAGAAATTGAAATCTTGTAGTTTGTGACAACATGAATGGACCTAGATGGTATTTTGCTAAGTGAAATAAGTCAGAGAAATACAAATATTGCATATTTTCCTTTATATGTGGAATGTAAGAAAAACAGACTCATAGAAACAGAGGTCACACAGATGGTTGCCAGAAGAAAGGCAAGTGGGGGAAAGGGTGGAGAGGATGAAGGGGAATTTACTCAATAAAATGATGAGAAGTTTGTGTGGTGACAGGTGGCTACCAGACTTAGTGTGGCGATCACTCTATTAGGTATATAAAAGTTGAATCACTATGTTGCACACCTGAAACTAATATATGAGTATTGTAGATCAACTATGCTTAAATAAAAGTAAGTAGAAACAAGGAAGAAATTTATAAGTGCTAACATGACAATATGGGGGTACAATTAGGTGGACCCAGGTGCTGTAAATGAGCAGGTCACCACCTACTTCTATGTGTGAACAGACCACTTACCTTTCACTAGTAACTGTCCCTCTCTCACCTGCACTATGTATATTTTACTGATCCTTTGGTCTCTTGGCTTTAGAGTGCAGAAGTAAAAAACCTTTTAATATGCCTATAGCAATCTCCCCTCTCATATATCATGAAGTACTCAGTTCCTTTTCCACCTTAAAATGTATTTTGGAGAATCTTACTGTAAGGACAGTGTAGGCTGGCCACCTACTGATATGGAAGTGTATGAGGGCAAATACTTTCTCCACCCTAAATAAATGTCAAATAATTTCAGGAACTGCTTCTTCTCTCTCCATTTTGTTTTCTTGCAAATGTAAACCCCACAAGGGCAATGACTGTTTTTACGCTCTGTCAATATATAACAAACACTGGGGCAGTGAAATAAGTCATAAATAGGAATAAAATTCCCAAATAATAAAACCAACTATAACCCAATCAACTGCTGCTAGTGATGCAGAGGCTTCACTTTAAAGTATCAAGAATAAAGCATACATGTCTTCAATCACAATGTCCAGAAATGTGAGTTACATTGGTAATTGTACCATTCAGTTAAACATTTACCGAGAACTTTTTATTGACTACATATCTGATGAGAAAAATGCCAATACTGTCCTCATTTTCAAGTGAAATAAATAAAAATTCAGGAGATTAAATTTCATATAGTCAACTAATATATGCGGAGCTGGAATCCAAGCTCATTGTTCTCCGATTCCAAAGCCACAGGTGTTATTTACATTCCTATGCACCTGTAGGCACTGAATAATTATCCTTTTCCTGTGACAAAATGAGAACTCATACTAGGCTGAGTTAGCAACACAAATCCTCACCCAGTGCAAGGCAGACAAGTATTATTGACCAAAGCATAGATGTAGTTTAATGAACAGAAGCTATTACTCAAGAATTAGAAATGGGCATATCCTCTTGTTGGATTTCAGTTTTGTATTTTAGGGTCTGGGCAGTAATATATTTAATAGGGTATAATGTAATAGGGTAGCACATCAATATTTTCCACCCAACTATATATATTAAGGCTATCATGTAATTATATATATGTATACATATGAAGGTCTGTCCAGAAAAAGTCAAGCCATTGTTAATATAATGAGAACAGTTTGTGCAACACTGATGTAACCTGGCAGCCAAGGAGAGTGGCCTGGAAGGGACAGACATGAATAATGATGACATCACTGTACTAGTCTGTGGGAGTGGTAAATGCCATTGAGTGAGCATGTGTACTGTGTGGCTGTCACACTCAAAACGTCTGAGTGTGTAGAGCAACAGATCTGCAACGAATTTAGTGTTAAGCTTGTTCAAACTATTTCCACAATAGTTTCCTCCATGGAAACTATTTGGACAATTCAGAAGGCCACAGCTATGGGCAACTGGTGATTGGCAGCTTCATCACAACAACATGTCTGCTCACGTGTCATGTGTCTCATGCAGTTTTGTGGCCACACATCAAATAACCCAGGAAACTCAGACTTGCTACAGGCCCAGATTTGGTGCCCTCTGACTTCTGGCTTTTCCTAAAACTGCTATCACCTTTGAAAGAAAAGAGATTTCAGACCCTCAGTAAGATTCAAGGAAAATAGGATGGGGCAGCTGATGACAACTGGTAGAATTTTGTGAGGTCCCAAGGTGCTTAGAGGACTGAGGTGTCATTGTCCTACATGTAATGTTTCTTATATCTTCTTCAATAAATGTCTCTATTTTTCATATCACATAGCTGGATACTTTCTGGAGAGACCTTGTATGCTAATGGTAGAAAATGTTTTCAGTATTTGAGATAAAGTATTGCCTAAGGAGATGCACCATCACCAAAGAGGCAACTTTCCACTTTGCATATCCGAACATTAAATTTTTTCTTTACTTTGCTGTCTAACAATTTTGACAGATTATGTGAGAAAAGAATGAGGTGGCCAAAATGTCTGTAAAGAATTTTAAAGCCCACCTAAATGATAGGCATAATGAACTATTGTATCTTACATAATTAATTCTACTCAACTTTTAATGATTTGTAACCTGACTTAAGAAATAATTTATATTTAAAATTTCTCTTAGTATCCCCACAGATTACATTGTGTGTTACCAAACATTAGTTGGAAATAGTAGCTATACACAGATGAAATTTGAAAAAATAATACAAAAATAGTTACACTTATATAATCCAGGCTTTTAAAAAATATGATGCTGATTTTTAAAAACCATGCTTCATTCAACATGGAACATATGGCATTGTGGTTCTAAGAAAATATATGAGGATTTCTATCATTAAATTTATATTTATCCAGCACATAACAAATTCCCTTTACTTTTTAATGCTTATGAATTTCTATTAGAAAATGTTGCTTACACAAAAAGATCTATTAGAATACTTGCTATCACAAAAACTCAATAGAAAATTAGTTACTTTAAAATAAATATTACAGAATTTTACCAGCAGCAATTTTTAGTTATTCTCATCTATTACATCGATTCTAATGTGTAGGACTTAGTTTGTGAGAGTATATGCAAATATTGTCTAATATTTCTTTGTCCAGAGTAAATCTGAAACATAAATTAAGGACAATACAGTTGGCATATGAAATCCACATACCAGTGTGAAGAGAAACAGGGAACGTGAAGAGCACAGAAAGGAGAGTGAAATAATGTTCTTGATTTCTCTTATACGGTAAGCCTTTAATATATGCTTATTGAATTAATATATAAATATATATTTTATCAAATGAAAGTGTTAATATAAATTTTGTATTTTTGTATGTTTTAAATTTAACATCAAAACTGTTGCACAATTTTTGGATGAGCAATTTCAAATGAAATTAAAATTATTTTTACTTTTTTTTAAAAAGATTTTATTTATCTTTAGAGGGGAAGGGAAGGAGAGAGGGAGAGAAATATCAATGTGTGGTTACCTCTCATGTGCCCTGACTGGGAATCGAACCACAATCCTTTGGTTTGCAGACCCATGCTCAATCCACTGAGCTACACCAGCCAGGACTAAAATTATTTTTAAAAATCCTGAAATATGATTCATCATTAACTTCAAAAACCTAGTTAGGCCTACTGTTTTCTAGTTCAACATACATAAGTTTAAGCACAAATAATGGATCACATACTACATGAAATAGGATAAGTAGATATATGGTTAGTGTGTCAAAAAGAAAACACTAGAAACTCCAAATAGATCATATAGTATCATTTACAATTTTAAAATAAAATATACAAAATATGGTATCAACTAAAAATGTGTATAGTTATTAAAATTCACTTCTAAATAAGCAATGAACTTAAACCTGTTAAGAACTGATATGCTACAATGATATCGACACTATACTAAAATGACTGACAGAAGGCCATTGGTACAGAGATTCGGAAATATAAAACACTTGTTTTGTATTCTTTATATTATAAGAGCTGTGCATAGTAATATTTATAATCAGTTCTTATTTTCTGTATATATTGTTTAAGTTTCCCAAATGCATTCTCCAGAGTTAACTATTTAAAATTCATTCATGTTAAAAAATGGGCAGAGGACCTGAACAGACAGTCTCCACAGAACAAATACAAACGGCCAACAGAACTACGTGAAAAGATGCTCAACATCACAAATCATCCGGGAAATGCAAATTAAAACCACAGTGAGTATCACTTCATTCCTATCAGGCTATCATAAAAAAAATCAACAAATTAGTGCTGAAGAGGATGTGGAGAAATAATAACTCTCATGCACTGCTTGAATTATAAACTATTGCAGCCACTATGGAAAACAGCATGAAGATGCCCCCAAAATTTCAAAATAGAGCTGCTATATCACCCAGCAATATTATTTCTGGGTAGTTATCTGAAGAAAACAAAAACATTAATTCAAAAAGATGTACATACCCCTAAGTTACTACAGTATTATTTACAATAGTAGAGATATGGAAGCTACTTAGGTGCCCATTGGTACGTGAGTGGATAAAGATGTACATACATACAATGAAATATTAATCAACAACAACAAAAAGAAATAAAATCTTGCTATTTGCAACAAAATGGATGGACCTAGAGGGTATTCTTCTAAGTGAAATAAGTCAAACAGAGAAAGATAAATACTGTATAATTTTACTTTACTTACATGTGAAATCTAAAAAACAAAAACAAAGAAACAAACAAAATAGAAACAGACCCACAGGCACAGAGAACAAGCAGATAGTTGCCAAAGGAGGGGTGGGGTGGGGTGGAAAACTGATGAGCTCCATGCAGCTGAGTTTGATTCTTCATCCCTCTCTCTACCCTCACCCTCCCACAAAAAACCCTCATTCATATATTTTTTATGTATCCTACAACAGAGACAAAAAGCAAGCAAGAATGATTGTGGTAAAACAGCTTAATTATATAAAGAAACTAATATATTTTTACACACAACAGTTTGAAAGCAATTTTGTGTTTATTGAAGAAGCATTCTTTTCATGCACATTATTCAAGATTTTTTTCTGTCAGAGTTTTAGTTTCTTAAGGCTGCTCTAACACATCACCACAAACTAGGTGCTTAAAATAACAGAAGTTTATCCTTTCTCTGTTCTGGAGGCTGGAAGGCTGAAATCAAGGTGTCAGCAGAGTCGTTCCACCTGAAGACCCGGATGGAGAATCTATTTCACGGTTCTCCCCTAACCTCCGGTGGTCGCCAGCAGCCCTTGGCTTCCCTTGGCTTGCAGATGTAGCCTACAGTCTCTGTCTCCATCTTCCATCTTCATGTGTCCTTCCCTGTGCCTGTGTCGTTCTCCTGCTCTTCTTACAAGGACACCAGGCACATTGGACTAAGGCCTGCCCTCTTCAGTATCACATCACCTTAACTACTTACATTTGCAATGGCCATATTTCCAAATAAGGATGCATTCTGTGGTTCTGTGAAGGGAACAGATTTTGGGAGGGCACTATCCAACCCAGTGTAGTCAGTTTCATTAACATTAAAGAAAAAAATTCTCATATTATACAGATCTAAAAATAATGAATGAAATAGATGAAACAATGTAAAATACAGGAGTGCAATCTTTTATTTTTTAATCTGATACTTGGATGGGAACTTACCTTTGGGAATCTTTGTCATTTATAAATATGGCTTTATGCAAAGAGAAACTTACAAAATTCGTCAAGAAGGATTAAGGGGATTAATCTAGGTGCATTCATTTGTTTCTCATTTGTCACACTGATCCTTAGAATATTTTCTAATTTTGATTTCACTGAAGAATTGTTAGATCTGAGTAAAGTCTATACAGTAAAAGTGGTACACTAGCTTTGAAACTAAAGTTAAATATTACAGAGGAAGATAAAGTAAGTCTAAGATAAACTCAAGTACTTATGTCATATCTTTTGTCCATAGTGATTCTAGTATTTCATTCACTTGGACTCACCAATTTAGAATTCCTAATCAATAATTGATAAGATGAATTTTTCCTGTATGATGCTAAGGTAAACCCACTAATTTAGTTTTGAGATGCTGCTTCTCCTTAAGATGAACTTCCTGGGTCCTATTTACTACATTTTCCTTTTGAGAAAAAAAATGCTAAATATTCTCAGTCTGCACAGACAGGCAGTACATATCTATATACTAACTTTATTTTCTTGTGTTAAGCTGTTCAGGAATTTTACGTAACAACATCGTGAGAAACTGTGAGGGGAAACTTGAAGGATCAGACGATTAAGACTTTGTCATAATTTGACAGCTGCTCTGAGTTTGGCTGAGCGCCCTCTGGGGTTATCCTGTACATCCTCGTCTTCTGGGGTACGCACCTTCTTGTGTATCAGTTCCCACATTAAAGGAGCCCTTCTCAGAGAGACTCCTTCCCTGTTGTCGTGACCTGAACCCAGCTGTGATGTTTGTGTCACCTTCTGCCTTACACTTAGGTTAAATCTCTCCGCCATGCTTATCCCGAGCAAGAATCGTTTGACAATGCGATCCTCCAGTGAATGGAAGGATAGGGCAACCAGACGACCACCAGGTCTCAGGAACTTCTGGGCTGTCTTCAGTCCTGTATAAAGTTCATTGAGTTCGTTGTTCACAAATATGCGAAAGGCCTGGAAAGTCTTGGTAGCAATATGGGTAGATCGTTGCAGCAAGTCTTTTCGTGCATAAACGGCAGAGGGAGGAAATGCACCTACGAGTAGATTTGGTGAAAATAGGAAAAGAGAATAGGCGACATTACTATTTTCCACTGTAAACAGACTAGCTTGTGTATATATTTAAAGGACTAAATTTCCTTTGAAAACGTGGCATTTCATTAGTGCTTCCCCATTTTATTTCCAAGCATTTTAACGAGGTTTAAAATGACCATGTCAGAAACATCTTTCATAACTCATAAAAGAAACTGGAGTCAAATAGGAGCAGGAAAAAAGAGCTCTCAACTATAGGCAGTTCAATGACCACCCCTCAATGGAATAAACAAAGAAAAGTGCACCTAGGTACATTGTAATCAAACTTCTACAAGTGAAAGATAATGAGAAAAGTCTTGACTGCAACAAAGAAAAATAATACATAAAGGAGAACAAAAAATATTAACAGCTAATTTCTCTTAGGACAATAGAGGCTATAAGATACTGGAATGCCATTTAAATTGTTGAGGAAAAATATGCCTTCCAATAAAAGGTTATTCTGAAATTATTCTTCAAAGTTAAAGGTTCAGACATTTTTAAATAAATTAAAAATGAGAGAATTCATTGCTAACAGGTCTGCATTCGAGAAATGCAAAAGAAATACTTCAGGCTGAAATGAAATAAAATCAAGTGATAACCTGGATATACAGGAAGAATATGTGTGTGTATGTTTGTCTGTATATATATATGTGTGTGTGTGTGTGTATATACATATATACATACACACATTCTTCCCTTGTATGTTGTCTATATACACATATTCTTTTATATATATATATATATATATATATACACACACACATATATATTCTCTTAATTTCTTTAAGAGACAGAACTTTTTTATTAACATTTTTATTGGTGTTCAAGTACAGTTTTCTGACTTTTCTCCTCTCCCCTCCTCACTACCCCAACCCTCCCCACCTCCCTCCCATTTCCACCCCCCTTGTTATTGTTCATGTGTCCTTTATAATTGTTCCTGTAAATTCTTCACCCTTGTCCCCCATTATCCCCCGATCTGATCACTGTCAGCCCATTCTCAATTTCAATGAAAAGACAGAACTCTTTAAGCAAAATTATAACATCATATTTTGGGTTTATGATACAGATATATTAAGATATAGATATAAATAAGTAATCTATACAATAGCACAAAGAATGAGAGTGGGTAAGTGAAACTATACTACTGCAAGGTTTCTATATTTTATGTAAAATTACAGTTGCATTGTGGTTGCTAGAGCAGTCAATTAAAATAATGCAAATAAAGATAATAAGCAAACAGGGAATAAAAACAACCCACAAAAATATAGTTTAACACAACAGAATGCAAAAGAGAAGAATTGGAAAACAAAAACGAGACAAAGGGAAGACGAAAAATAAAATGGCAGACAATAATTCCAAATACAAGTATTTACATAAAATATAAATGTATTAAATAATCCAATAAAAGTACATTGATTATCTGGCTGAAAGAAAGCAAGACCTAACTATATATTATGAACAGAAATGCACTTTAAATATAAAGACACAATAAAAGTAAAAATAAGTAAAGGCTATAAAAAGACATACCATATAGACAGTAAACATAAAAAACCTCAGGAGATTATATTAATACTAGACAAAATTTTAAAAGAATTACTAGATCCAGAGAGGAACATTTCTTATTGAAAAGATGGTCAAGAGAGTAAGAAGATACATTGCAAATGTATATGTACCAAATAACATAGTTTCAAAAATTCAGTCACCTCAGAAAAAGCCTTACATTTATGTAGGAAATTAGATTGCTACCACGTTGTCAAGTTAACTCAATGGAGATAGAACGGATTTTCAGTAAAAGTAAGTATCTGTAAGGATATGACCTTCAACCCATATTGCACACTATAAACAAAAATTAATTCTAAGTAGATCAAGAACCTAAGAGTAAACACTGAAACCATAAAACATATACAAGTCAAATTGCTTGTTTGAAAAAAGGGCAAAAATTTGAACAAACATTTCAAAGGATATTAAATAGCCAATAAACATATGTAAAGATGTTCAAAGTAATTATTAGTCATAGAAATGGAAATTTAAACTACAATGAAATTCTACACATCTACTAGGACTGCCAAATCTTAGAAAGATACAAACTACTGAAACAGACTCAAGAAGAAATAGATAATATGAATAGACATATTACAAGTGAAAGAATTGAATCAGTAATCAACTCACAAAGAGAAGTCCAGGCCCAGGCGACTTCACTGCTTAATTCTGTTTAACACTCAGAAAATTAATAACAATACTTCACAAACTCTTCCAAAAAATTGAAGATGAAAAAACACTCCCCAAATTATTCTATGAAGCCAATATTACCCTGAAACTAAAATCAAAGACATCATAAGAAAACTACAGACCAATATTACTTACAAATATAGACATAACAACCTTCAACAATATACTAGCAAACTAAATTCAGCAGCATATTAAAGAATTATACATCATGACCAAGTGAGATTTATTCTTGGAATGCAAGGATGGTTTAATTCATGAAAATTGATCTGTGTAATTCCTAACCTTAACAGAATAAAGGGAAAATCCACACAAAATCATACAGAAAACCCATACTGATTCAGAAAACACACTTGAAAAAATTCAACATCTTATATATATATATATATATATATATATATATATATATATATATGATGACCCACAGCTAACATCATAATGATGAAACAAACTGAAAGCTTTTTCTTGAAGATCATTACTAGCATAAGGATGTCTGCTTTTACCATTTCTATTCAGCAGAGTATCGGAAGTTTTAGAGTGAATAGACTAGAAAAAGAAAAGGCATTCAGATTTGAAAGGAAGAAATAAAACTCTGTTTACAGAGGACATATATGTTAAAAAACACTAAAAATCACACACACACACAGATACTATTAGAACTAACATCAATTCTGCAAAGAGTTAACAAGCAAAATTAACATGCAAAAATCACTTGTGTTTCTACACACTAACCATAAATAATCCAAATGTAATATTAAGAAAACAATTTCATTCATAATAGCTTCAACGAGGATTAAATGTTTTAGAAATAAAGTTAACAGAAGAAGTACAAAACTTAGGCTGTGGAAGCTACACATTTTTTGAAAGAATTTGTTTAAGATAGAAATACTTATTACCCAAACTCATCTAGGGTTCAATGCAATCTCTATAAGATCCCAGCTGACTTTTTGGTACAAACTGGCAAACTGATTCTAAAATTCACATGGAATTGTAAGACACCCAGAACAGTCCAAATGATCCTGAAAAAAATATACACTGTAGCAGGAAGACTCACACTTATGGATTTCATAACTTACTGCAAAACCAAGTTAATTGATATGGTCTGATACTGGCTCAGCAAAACATATTGAGATCAATGGCCTTTAATTGATAGCCTAGAAATAAAATTGTATAGTTGTAGTCAACTGATTTTTGACAAGAGCATCGAGACCATTCATTCAGTGGGGAAAGCACAGTCTTTTGAACAAATGGTACAGGGACAATGAGATAGCTACATAAAAAAGACTGAAGTTGGACCCTTAAATAATACACGAAATTAAGTCAAAAGGGATCCAGAGACTAAATGTGAGAGCAACAGCTTTAATACTCAAATGAAAACACAGAGATAAATCTTCAAGACTTAGAAGTTGGTAAAAGCTCTTAGAAAAAAAAGCCCACCAAAATCACAAGCAACGAAGAAAAATAAATTAGACTTTATCAAAATTAAAAACTATTTTCCTTCAAAGGACACCATCCAGAAAGGGAAAGGACAACCTGAAGAAATGAGGAAAAACTTGCAAGCCACATATCTGATAATGGATTTGTATCTACAATATGTAAAAGAAGCAAATTACAAAGTAAACATTCCTGATGCTATTTCTATGATATTCTGAGACATGCAGATCAAAAACAGTCATGCCCCATCTAGTTTTCAAGATAAACAAGCAATGTTGATTTTTATATAACTCAATAAATATAATTTTTCTTAGGCTTATCCGATTGGCATAAAAATGTTATCAAAGTATAATATCCAGGGCCCTGGCTGGCGTAGCTCAGTGGATTGAGCGCGGGCCTGCGAACCAGAGTATCGCGGTTCGTTCCCAGTCAGGGCACATGCCTGGGTTGCAGGCCAGTTCCCGGCAGGGGACGCATGAGAGGCAACCACACATTGATGTTTCTCTCCCACTCTTTCTCCTTCCCTTCCCCTCTCTCGAAAAATAAATAAAGAAAATATTTTTAAAAAAAGTATAATATCCAATGAATTTATAGAGGAATTTTTATTTGATTTAAGAACCTATTCCTGGAGAATACTATCCCACAAAAAAATCTTTCCGGACCAGATTTCCCGTGAATGAAAATCTGAAAAAGCTGCAGCCCTGGCACTTGACTCTCTGCAGTACTTTGTTGCTTCTTACAGCAAAGAACATTACACAAGGCTGGTACCTTAGTTCCCACTTTAGTAATCTGCAGAAAATCAAGCAGTAAAGCACATTAACACACACATGATGAATCTTCTCGGGGAACTGGATCAGAGAAGGGAAGAAATGATATACCTGGGAGCTGAGAAGCAGGTGTCTACAGTTAGACGAATCAGTTTTGTGGGTTCACTCCTCTACAAAAGTACTTTGCTCAAAGGCTAGAAAATGTTAGACATTAGGGAATTTATCTTCCAATAACCAAGTCTTTCAGAAACAAAATGTCAAAGTCAAAGCTAAAGAGGGAAGTCAACTTCTTGCCATTTGCTATTCAATTTCTCCATTTTCCAGAAAAAGAGTTTTGGTCACTGAGGCATGGGTTTGAAAACATTCTAAGGATGTGAACAAACACACAACTCTCTCATATTCTAGAGCTTGAATTTGGAGGACACTGGAGGAAGGCTGCATTCCTGAAGACCTTGTATGATTCAAACCTTGCACAATTCAATACAAATTTTCTCAAAGGAGACATGTAATATAGAATATATTTTAATGTACCTGGTTAA